CCCCGGGACGGCTGAGGGGCAGCCGGCCGCGGCTCTCTGTGGCGAGACAGCAGCCCGCGGCGCCGGCACCGCCGGCCCGGGAGCTGATCCAGCCGTCGGTGAGCGAGCTGTCCCGGGCCGTGCGAACCAACATCCTGTGCACCGTGCGCGGCTGCGGCAAGATCCTGCCCAATAGTCCGGCGCTCAACATGCACCTGGTCAAGAGCCACCGCCTGCAGGTGAGCCCGGCCCGACAGGGGCGGGGCCCTTCCACCCGACCTGCCGCGGGGGTCGCACCGGGGGTCGCACCGGGGGTCGCGCAGGTTGCTCGGCGCTGTGGCCTGGACGTTGTCCTCAGGCGCCGGGCAAGCTCGCCTTCCAACAAAGCGCCTGGCGCCCCATGCGTGCACGGAAAAGGAGGCGCAGAGTCCTGGCATTCCGGGGGGAATGTAGCGTTTCCACAGTTTGTGGATTGCAGTTGTTTGTACTCAGCCTCTTCCTGGTTGGAATTTGAGGTGGCTTTAAAATACGTAAAACAGGCTAAACAAATAAGGGAAGCCTAACTAGAGGAAATTAAGAACGAGTGCACATGAACACATAATAATAGGAAAGTACTGTGTCATGCCATTCAGGTGTCAGGCTAAGACAGGCCGTTACTTAAACTGGCTTCTTATTTCCTGCCAGGCACTGGCTCAGGCATTTTACGCATTTTATCTCATTAGTTGTCACAGCAGCTTTGCGAGGTGCGTATTATCCCCACTGAATTGATGAGAGACATATTACACAACGTATGTGGTGCTCGGATTTAAACTTGTGTCTCTGGTTCTGAGTTCTTTCCACCACACCCACAGTACCTCCCAGAGGCCCTTATGGTCTGCCTGCTTGTTGGAAGGGAACTGCAGATTTGTCTCTAACCACCATCAGTTAGTTACAAGTATCCCCTAAGGGAAATCTCTCCCGTGTGACCCCTTTAAAAGAGTATACAGTATGATGTGACAATAGTCAGAACAACCCCTCTACATTATGTGAAATGGGGCAGTGATTTTCAGCCTTTGATGCACATCCGTGGAAAGCTTATTAAAGATACAGACGTACAGCCCCACCCCAGACCTATTAAATCATAATTTCTCAGTCATTACAATGGGAAGTTTCCTTCCACCACTTCTTAGTGTCTTTCTATGCCAGCAGTGACATAATATGAAAGCACAAGTCACTGAAAGCAGTTTTGTGGAAATGTAGCTTTTGATGGTCCAAGTTGATTCAGGAGTAAATTTAGATTACTCAGAGTACTACATGTTCTGTATATCTTTCAAGTAAATCCTCCTGAAAACTTTTTTAGAATTAGGCTTTTGATAAGAATTTTACAGCAGAAAGTTTGTGGTTAGGTTCTCTAGTAGGGCAGAAAAATGTGTTGCCCATGAAGGGTGGTCTGCCTTGACCACCAACTCTACAGATATAACACTGTACTCGTTGTGAAGATGGAGGTATGCTGAGGAAGCCCTTGCAGGCAGGGCCATAATTTTCCTCGGAATAGTTTTGAGTTTCTTCCAGCATAAAGATGTACAATAACTGGGAATGATGTTCAATCTACTGTTTTCTTTCTTACACAGACTTTTAACTAGATAGTCCTTTTCTCACCTTTGGTGGATGAGCTATATATTCGTAGGAATTCTACAGCCCAATCCCTTGGTTCTCTTTAGCTCATATATAACACCCACCTTCAGTATGATCCCCTCAGCGATCAGTAGCTACAGCAAGCAGTACACCTCTGAGCATCAGATGA